CCGGGGCCTCGCCCCCGGGTCTCCCACCAGGGTCCCTGGAGTTCCTCCGGGGGGCCAGCAGGGCCTGCAGGTCGAAGCTGGGGTTGCGTCTGCGGGTGGGCTTCACCGGGGCAGAGCTGTCTTCCGCCTGCACAGCGGAAAACAGAGAAACAACAACGGAGTGTTTGTATATGGAATAACCTCAAAGTAAATGGGAGATTGGAATTCAGTTTATAATTCAATAAGTGGGAAAATACAGATCATGTGAGAATGTTATTAAAGACAGAATTCTGTTACTGCAACGACCTCACATATCAGAGGAAATTGCTCAAGAGAGAACAGGAGTATTGCCAGGCTTTAATATACAGGAGAGCATTGTTTGCAAATGTAGTTCTACTATTAGTATTAACAATTTTTTACATAAAGGTTACTGCAGGGGTTCCCATACCTGGTCTTAATCATGAATTGAGCTCGTATCTCATTCATTGAGCTAACGAGCTCTTCGATTAAAACAATTGCCCGCTTGGTTTGCTACTCTTACGCTTTAAGATCTTGTGATTAAGAAATGTATAAATGAAGGAACTGAACTGATGAAGAGAGTGTGATAGAATCCTGGTGTCGATAGGATTATGTAAGTGAGAGCTCAGGTGAAGTGAAAAGGCAGCAGGTGTGTTGGGAACCCCTTGCTAACTGCATACACAGACACCAGATATATCAAGCTCAGTTGCTGAGAAACTCTAAACAGATCCAAGGGTACACTCAGGAGCTCAGGAGTTTGCTCGGATGCTCAGGAGTCTACCCAGCAGCTCAGGGATTGCCCAGGAGCTCAGGAGTGTGCCCATGAGCTCAGGCATTACCCAGCAGCTCAGGGATTGCCCAGGAGCTCAGGAGTGTGCCCATGAGCTCAGGCATTACCCAGCAGCTCGGGGATTGCCCAGGAGCTCAGGAGTGTATCCAGGAGCTCAGGGATTAACCAGCAGCTCAGGAGTGTGCCCAGGAGCTCAGGAGTGTGTCCAGGAGCTCAGGAGTGTGTCCAGGAGCTCAGGAGTGTGTCCAGGAGATCAGGAGTGTGTCCAGGAGCTCAGGGATTAACCAGCAGCTCAGGAGTGTGCCCA